GCAATTGTTTTTATTAGCAGGCATGAAAAACGAACGAAGACGGAGACGGTCCCCATGTGCATGCACAACAGCATAGCGTAAGCAGGCGCGCCAGCACCAGCAGCCAACAGGCACATGCAGGCGAGTGCAGCGTGTGCACGCGGAGTACTAGAAAATCTCGTGATTTTAGCTAGGGTCCAGGATAATGACCAGTAGACAGGACAACATGTTGCCTGTTCGGCTGGGCTGGAGGATCGTGGATTATTACTGCTGGCTGGTTTGGTGTGAGAGAAAAATAATCTTCTGGCTGGAAGACACTGTTCATGTGAACAAAGTGCCGCGTGGAAATGGGCTGGCTGGCCAAATTTCACCAACCAACCAAACCAAATTAAAGGTCGATGCATAGGTGTGCGAAGAAGACGACATGCGGGCAAAGCGACATCAACATGCTCATCAGCCAGGACAGGCGCGGGTGTCAAGACGGGGCTAGCACCGGATATGCGGACGCTAGCCAGGCCGCTAGAATTATAGTGACATAAGGGAAACTATCCTCAAGATTACATACTCCCGGCTCTGAGGGTTATGCTAGAGTTGGACGAAGAGGATTTGGTGACGTCTCTGATCTCACCTATCTAGACCAATGACGGCGTCAATAACTCAGCGCGTGTTTAGTTCCAGGAACTTGGAATTTAGGGCTACTGTAGCACGTTCATTTTTATTTGGCAATTAGTGTTTAAACATGGACTAATTAGGCTCAAAACGTTCGTCTCGTAATTTCCCACCAAACTGTGCAATTAGTTTTTTTTTCGTCTACATTTAATGCTCCATACATAGACCGCAAAAATTCGATGTGACAGATACTGTAGCAACTTTTTAGAATTTGGGGTCCAACTAAACACGCGCTCAATATGGATATGGATGTCCTTTACTGAGTCCTGACTTAAATATCTCACTTTATTGATTATGAAATATAAGATGAAAAATATGAGTAAGCACAAGATCTCCCCATGATTAAGAGAGGGTTACATACGACATTTTGTTTTACCCTATAATCTGCCCTAGAATTCTAGGATACCTTATATTACATGGAATATATGTTTAAGTTCTTGTACTCTGTACTTTTTTTTACCATGACTAGTGAAAATAGGGCATGATATATTGAAAAATTAGCAGGTCGGGTGGGGTGGGGAAGTTAGGTCATCTCCAACAATATATCAAAAATCACTTCCTCCATCCCAAAATAAGTGTCATTCTCACTTCCAAGTTAGATATTTTTAACTTTCACCAAATATATACAATAAATATTTAGTATTTATGCTGCATAATAGGTATCATTAGATTATTTGTTCAATATATTTTTATAATAAACTTATTTAGAGATAAAATATTGTTAATATTTTTTATAAATCTAGTTAAAGTTAAGAAAATTTAACCCGCATGAAATCCAAAACGACACTTATTTTTGGACAGAGGGAGCAAGAGCATCTCCAGCAGGACCCCCTACTTAACCCCCTACTCCAGATTTAGGTAGTGGAAGCCAAAAAATCAACTCCAGCAGACCCCCCTACTGGACCCCCACATTTGTTGGCCTCCTACTTTTCCACCTCCACCCTCTACTTCTGTTGGCCCCCTTCTCCACTCCCCCTATTTTTTTCCTCCACGACGTGATTCTTCCCCAGCGACACGCTCGACACGGCCTGCCCCTGTGACCCTGCTCGGCGTTGCGGCCAACCCCGACGTCCTGCGGGCGGCGGTGGCTAGCCCTGGTGGCCTGCGGGTGTCGCGGCGAGCCCCGGCCGCTTGCCCTCCCCGTCATGGCCTGCGGGGGGCGCGGTCCTGCCCCGACGGCGCGGCCAGTGGCCCTACCCCGGCGGCGCCCCTCCCCGGCGCAGGTGCGGCTCACGACGGTGCCAGTGCAGCCTCCAGCGGCGCCCCTGCCCTGCTGGCTCTGCTCCATGGGAAGAAGCTGATAGAGGATGATATGTGGGTCCCACATGTCGTCCTCTGTAAAGGATGAATTTGGTGGTCAGTTTTAGGTAGTGCTGGTGTAAACAATGAAATATAAGGTAGTATGAAAATTAGTAGCTACCTAAATAGAGAAGTAGAGGGTGTGTTTTAATCCTAAGAACTAGTTTATGAACCTTTACAAAAATTACTGGGCACGAGTAAAATACAATCCGCCGTCAGTTCTCTTTTACTGGTTCATAAAGAAGCATACACGTTGCCATCAACACACATTACATGCAGAGCCGCCGCAACTCGCTGTCGTGGCCGGCCATCCCTGACATCCTATCTCACATCCAAAACCTTTTAAAACTGGGTATAATTTCCTGCTTTACCTCTCATTATTCTTAAGTCTAAAACTAGTAACCACAATTCTGGCGAACTAACCTCCTAGACGGCAGCGCTGGTCGGAACATGGCCGGACATTTCCATCACCATAGCCCACCTAGAACCTAAGAAAATAGCATCTTCATTGCCTGCTCTATCTCTATCTCTCAGTATTCTCATATTTAAAAACAGTGGTCAGAAGATTCAATCTCGGCTAACCTCCAGCCTGTTCGGTTGGCTGCTTCGTTTCGTTGCTGGTTTGTGAAGAAGTACTGCTGGCTGGTTTGTGTGAGAGAAAAATAATGTTCCGGCTGAAAATTTACAATCGTTTACGATAAACTACAGCCAAACGAACAAGACGCTCCATGGGACGACAGTTGGGGACAGATATGAAGCCCAGATAAAAAAACAACAAGGCCAAGGGTGCCAACGCCGATAGGGAGTATATATGTAGTTCGTGTATCTTTGTGTATGAATGTCTCTGATTTTTTAAGCGTGGATGGATAGCTCGGGAGTTTGGATAAGCAATAGTTGGAGTGTGTTTTTTTCGTCATAAAAAAAACAAGACTGGAAGTGGGTTTACTGAAGTGTTGAAGCTCTGATTTTTGTTTTTTTTTCCAACTTTTTTCCAACGAACTTTGTATCATGAGTCCGTGACTTCATGCATACCTCGTCCTCGAGAAGTAATAAACGAGTGGGACAAACTCTGCTCAAGGATAGCTTCTTGCTAACTTTCTCCCTTGATGTGGTCACTAAAGACTATCCTTGTGATCCTTGTATAGGGCAAGCGTCTTTTCAACCTTTGCAGACGACAGATGACAGCCCTTTGCAAGTTGAAATCTAAGATCCTGTTTGTTTGTCTTATAATTCATACTTTTCGATTTGTCTTTTCAGCTGAAACAGAATTTTTTTTTTATAATAAATCAGCTAGAACACTGTTTCAGCTTGTTTTTAAAGTGAAGGCGAATGGGGCCCAAATACCAACTGAGACGGTGTTTTAGACCAAAGACAATCAACGTCAGAGCAACCAAAGAGATGCCCCCTTAGCCTAAATGCCCTAACCTATCAGCATAGGGTTGCGCACCGAGCGCCGCGTATTAGCCCCTGGGCAGAAGTGCAGAACACACGGCTCTCGTCCGCTCCAACTTGCCGCACCTGGTTTTAAAAGAAAGAAAGAAAGCAAGCTTGCCGCACCCTGCTTACTGTCTGCTGCTTTCACGGGAAAAAGGGTTTGATTCCAGGCAAGGCATCCATCAGCCCACAGGTTGTTTTCGTGGAGCTTTGCCCTCCAGCAGCACATAATGTTGCCACAAAAAATTCATTATTAGCATAAAAAATACTAGTAGTAGCTAGTTGCAATTTGGCGTGTGTGCGCCTGTCGCCCATGTCCAAGTTGCGCGGCTCCCATGAGCCATCAGCCCATGAATGATTAAACCCTCCATCGCGTCATCAGCCTTAGAAAATGAAATGATGGCGCTTGTGCCATGACCACTCAGCGATTCCTATCCGCTAATTGCATGCGTGGTTCATTATTTGTGTTCCTTCCGTGCCCTGGAGGATAAAGGATTTGTTGTTGTCATCATAACATTACTGGAGGGGCAGCACATATGATCTGCGCCCTATTCGTTTGGCTTATAAACCGTATTTTTTCAACCAACGAACAGTATTTTCTTTCTCACAACAAATCAGCCAACAATATTTTCAGCCATGGCTTATCAGCTAAGCGAACATGACACTGATCAGTGGCTCGTCGCTCCGGTTTCTTGTTGAAAATCGTAGATATGCCCGGCGAATTTACAGTTGAGGTTATACTTGTACAACCTCCATTCTAAATCGGGGAATTGTGAGGATTACTCTTTTAAGACTTTGTTTGATATAGTCGGATTCACATCGATCCGTAACCCATGTGGATTGAGTATAATCTGATAACATCCCATGTGAGTGGGCCAAGCACGAGCATGCACGGAGAGGCTAATCCCTGAGTGGCGCCATCGGGCGAGCTTACGACGCACCACCGCAATTTCTTTGCTTGCTACGCACACGCCGACATGCGCCTGCATTAGTAATTTCAGTGCCTCATTGGCCCCGTTCGCTTGTCTTAAATTTGGCTTGTTCGGCTTGTTTTTTCAGCCGGAACAGTGTTTTTCTCTCACAACAATTCAATCGGAACCGTGTTTTTCAGCCAGTTTCAGCCAAAGTTCAGACCAACGAACGGAGCCATTATTTTGCTGTTGACGTGAATAGAAATACTACGCGGCGTTTATGTTAGATAGAGCCAAGTCTCATGTTGACTCCATTTCTTTTCAGCTTAATTAAGGCTGCAAGTAACTACAATAGGAAAAAGTGGTCTTTTGACTTGTGCTCCTTCCCGGAAAGCTGCGACTTCTGCTGTACTACCCGTTTTCCGAGTCCTCTCGTTTCAGTAGCAGAAAAACAAAAGAAGGAAAACTCGTTTTTCCAACAATTCAACAAGACCTGAGCCCAACATGCCTGCCCGTCTTCCCTGACCCAACCCAAAGATACGAGGCCCATCTAAGCCCACAACCCGTCCCACACGTCATCCCACGGCCAATAGGGTCCCACACCCAGTCCCCACCTCCTCGTTTCCCGCCCGCTCGCCGCCCCCTCTTCTTCTTCTTCCCTCCCCTCCCAAAAAAATCCCAAACCCCAAACCCCCCCAATCCCTAGCCATGGAGGCCACTGCGCCCGCCCCGCCGCGTTTCACCGTCGCCGACCTCCTCCGGCTCCGCCGCCCCACCACCGGCGCCTCCTCCCTCATTTGCCCCTCCGTCCCCACCTCCAGCTCCAGCTCCAGCTCCACCTCCCGGCCCCGTAAAAGGCACAAGCTCTCCGCCCCAGCCCCAACCTGGAGCACCGGCACGGTCCCCTTCGCCCCACTATCCCACCCTGTGCTCCTCTCCGGCACGCTCTCCCTCCCCTCCGCGTCCTCCCCGGCCTCCTGCCGCAGCAACTGCTTCTCCTTCTCCGACCCATCCCCCACCGCTGCCGCCTCCCCGGCCTCCGCGGCGGCTGCCTCCGTCTGCTGCTGGATCCTCGACTTCGACCCCGCCGCGCTGGGCCGCGAGATCCTCGTTCTCGCGTGGAACTACCTCCCCTCAGTGCGCCTCCACGCCGCCCCGGGCGTGCTGGAAGTGGTCCGCTGGCGCCTCGCGGAGGAGGAGGAGCAAGCTCCTGCCCCGAAATGTAACTTCCTGGCGACGGTCCCGTTCCATTTCCCCGACCAAGAGCCCGACCTGGCCACCCGCGGCTGCGCATTTGGTTTGGTCAGGTCCGTCAGCGTGGTGCTCAGTATGCCGCTCGCCAAGGCTGATGCAGGAAGCAGAGATTCAGTCGGGTTTCTGGCGGAGATTTTGTGTTGTGGGTGTCGCCGCTGCTGCAGGGCGACACCGCCGGAAGATGCCCAGAGTCACAAGTTTGAGACGATGAAATTTGTCTACTTTGTGGATGCGGCGAGCATGTGGCGGCCGGTTCTAGTGTGGCTTGTGGGGAGGCTGGTGTATGTTTCCGGGTTAAAGAAAAAAATGGTTTCTGTTGGGGACAAAGCCTCACACACGACGTTGGTGTCATCTGCAAAGACAGCCATAGCATGGTGCCCATCCTATAGGGGCAGTCTGCCATTGGATAGCTTCCCTGAGAAGTGCGGTGGGGACTATGCTGGGGTTATCACTGGAATTTATTCGCAAGGTCTGGTGGTCGAGCTCGATAACACTGCATGGCTGCTGATTGATGATCAGCAGCTTCCACCACCACATTCCCTTCGAGTTGGTGCCATTGTATGTTGCAAATTTCCACCTTCACTTTCAAATTTTCAGTCTTCCATTTTTCCATCTTAAGGTGATACTTACCTATTCTACTTCTGTGTAGGTCTCTGTAAAGAACTTTCGGGCAACATGTCTGAATTTTGCTTGGACACGGATTGTTCTGCTTGCAACTTGCTGTAAAACCTGCATTACTGTAAATTATTTCTCCTCGGTGGACTCCAAGTAAGACAGGAACTATATTTCCATGTCACCATACACTACTCCCTCTGTCCATCAATGTAGGATATATTTTGATGATGTCTTCAAAAGGAGGTTATCACCTTTAGTTTTTTTCAATAGATTATCAGTTGCTACAAAATAAACATAATAATAAAAAGCATTTTGAAATACAAATATACTGATACGACTTTTATAGACGAAACATGCATATAATATAACTAATTGTTTTGTAAGTTGGGGAAACTATAGATTGATTATTGAAGGACAAGAACAACAACAACAACAAAGCCTTTAAGTCCCAAACAAGTTGGGTAGGCTAGAGTTGAAACCCAGCAGAAGCAATCAAGGTTCAGTCACGTGAATAGCTGTTTTCCAAGCACTTCTATCTAAGGCTAAGTCTTTGGGTATATTCCATCATTTCAAATCTCCTTTTATTGCCTCTACCCAAGTCAACTTCGGTCTTCCTCTGCCTTTCTTCACGTTACTATCCTGGCTTAGGATTCCACTACGCACCGGTGTCTCTGGAGGTCTCCGTTGGACATGTCCAAACCATCTTAACCGGTGTTGGACAAGCTTTTCTTCAATTGGTGTTACCCCTAATCTATCACGTATATCATCGTTCCGAACTCGATCCCTTCTTGTATGACCGCAAATCCAACACAACATACGCATTTCCGCGACACTTATCTGTTGAATGTCTGTCTTTTCGTAGGCCAACATTATGTATCATACAACATAGCAGGTCTAATCGCCGTCCTATAAAACTTGCCTTTTAGCTTCTGTGGTATCATTTTGTCACATAGGACACCAGATGCTTGGCGCCACTTCATCCACCCTGTTTTGATTCTATGGCTAACATCTTTATCAATATCCCCGTCTCTCTGTAGCATTGATCCTAAATATCGAAAGGTATCATTCCTAGGCACTACTTGACCTTCCAAACTAATATCTTCCTCTTCCCGAGTAGTAGTGCCGAAGTCACATCTCATATACTCAGTTTTAGTTCTACTGAGTCTAAAACCTTTGGACTCCAAAGTCTCCCGCCATAACTCCAGTTTCTGATTCACTCCTGTCCGACTTTCATCAACTAGCACTACATCGTCCGCGAAAAGCATACACCAAGGGATGTCCTCTTGTATGTCCCTTGTGACCTCATCCATCACTAAGGCAAACAGATAAGGGCTCAAAGCTGACCCTTGATGTAGTCCTATTCTAATTGGGAAGTCATCCGTGTCTCCATCACTTGTTCGAACACTAGTCACAACATTGTTGTACATGTACTTAATGAGCCCGACGTACTTCGTTGGGACTTTATGTTTGTCCAAAGCCCACCACATAACATTCCTTGGTATTTTATTATAAGCTTTCTCCAAGTCAATAAAAACCATGTGTAGGTCCTTCTTCTTCTCCTTATACCGCTCCATAACTTGTCTTATTAAGAAAATGGCTTCCATGGTTGACCTTCCGGGCATGAAACAAAATTGGTTCATAGAGACCGGCGTTATTGCCGCTCTCAAGCGATGCTCGATAACTCTCTCACATAGCTTCATAGTATGGCTCATTAACTTAATTTCCCGGTAATTAGTATAACTTTGAATATCCCCTTTATTCTTGTAGATCGGTATCAATATACTTCTTCACTCGTCAGGCATCTTGTTCAATCGAAAAATATGGTTAAACAGCTTGGTTAACCATACTATAGCTATGTCCCCAAGGCATCTCTACACCTCGATTGGGATACCATCCGGTCCCATCGCCTTACCTCTTTTCATCCTTTTCAATGCCCCTCTGACCTCAGATTATTGGATTCTCCGCACAAAGCGCCTATTGGTGTCATCAAAAGAGTCATCCAACTGAAAGGTTGTGTCCGTATTCTCACCATTGAACAATTTATCAAAATACTCTTGCCATCGATGTCGGATCTCATCCTCCTTCACCAAGAGATGCTCCCTTTCATCCTTTATGCACTTAACTTTGTTGAAGTCCCTTGTCTTTCTCTCACGAACCCTAGCCATCCTATAAATGTCCTTCTCTCCTTCCTTCGTACTCAAATGTTGGTAAAGATCCTCGTACGCTCTACCCTTTGCCACACTTACAGCTCGCTTTGCAGTCTTCTTTGCCCCCTTGTACTTCTCTATGTTGTCCACACTCCTGTCATGGTACAAGCGTCTATAGCATTCTTTCTTCTCCTTAATAGCCCTTTGGACTTACTCGTTCCACCACCAAGTATCTTTAGCGTGGCCTCCACTTCCTTTGGTTACTCCACACACCTCTGAGGCCACCTTCCGAATGTTGGTTGCCATCTTCTCCCACATGTTGTTTATGTCCTCTTCTTCCTTCTAAGAGCCCTCTTTGATAACCCTTTCCCTGAATACCTCTGACGTCTCTCCTTTCAGTTTCCACCACTTTGTTTTTTCAATCTTAGCTTGTTTATCCCTACGGGCACGCACCTGAAAACGAAAGTTTGCCACCAAAAGCTTATGTTGAGAAACAACACACTCCCCTGGTATCACCTTGCAACCCAAGCATTATCGTTTGTCCTTTCTTCTTGCGAGGACAAAGTCAATCTGGATAGAGTGTTGTCCGCTACTGAAGGTCACTAGATGAGACTCTCTTTTTCTAAAGAAAGTGTTGGCTATCATCAGGTCAAAAGCTACTGCGAAGTCCAGAACTTCCTCCCCCTCCTGATTCCTACTACCATACCCAAAACCTCCATGAACTGCCTCGAAACTTGCGCTTGTAGTACCTACATGTCCATTAAGATCTCCTCCTATAAAAAGCTTCTCACTACTAGGTACAGCTCTAATCAGGCCATCTAAGTCTTCCCAGAACTGTCTCTTAGCACTCTCGTCGAGGCCTACTTGGGGGGCATACGCACTAATTACGTTCAAGGCCATATCACCAATGATAAGCTTGACTAAGATAATCCTATCTTCTTGCCTTCGCACTCCCACCACACTATTCTTGAGGCTCTTATCAATCAAAACTTCTACTCCATTTCTATTCGCGACTGTCCCTGTGTACCAAAGCTTTAAACCTGTATTGTCCACCTCCTTCGCCTTCTGACCCTTCCATTTAGTCTTTTGAACGCATAATATATTTACACGCCTCCTAGTTGCGGTATCAACTAATTCTCTTAACTTGCCTGTAAGCGATCCTACATTCCAACTACCTAAACGGATCCTAGTTGGTTCGACTAGCATCCTTACCCTTCGCACCCGTCGACTCAGATGCGAAGACCCTTGCTCATTTTTCACTACACCCGGGCGCCGATGTGGCGCGTCACTAAGGATGCGACGACCCGATCCTTGTTCACTTGACACCGTGCCCAGATCGCGACATGGCGTGTCACGGGGGTGACGACCCGGCCCTTGCTCATTTAACACTATACCCGGGTTCCGATATGGCGCGTCGCTAAGAGGGTTACGCCCCAACGGTTTTCTTTCGGGTTTCATCTCCATTAGAATGGCTAGATTTAACGTTGGCTCGCCACGCCTATCACAACCCTCCTCCTTTACCAGGGCTTGGGACCTGCTATGTTGAGACAACATAGGCGGAGTTATTGAAGGACAAGAACATGTACATATATAGGTGAGGATAGGGGCGGCTTATGGAAACACAACTGACCTCCAGTATCCTTGCCTAATACAACTCAATCTACTAGAGACCCAGACTTGGAGTCCAAATACAACTCCACAGCCCTAGCCGACCTCTATACAGAGATCAGTCCGGCTGGACATGAGCCCATATGGCTGAAGCTAATAAGGCCTAAGGCCCATAACATAGCCCTGTCTAACGTGTTTGTCAAACCTTACAAAGTTTTGATTTATCCGATTCAAAACACACCTTTTTACAAACTGGACAGAGGGAGTATTACAGATATCATCCATCAGCTTCTACTCTTGGTGCAGAAGTCATTTGAAGACAGAGAACAAGGGCCTCTTGGGAACATTTGTTGACTCATTGGAGATGCCTGCTCGATTTTGGTTTGAACTTTTATGGTTTAACTTCTTGAAATATACTTGCCATGATAAATGATTGACAAAATAAACAATTTTCTGTCACAAGGTATGCTCATTGTTTTCTCTATTTCTATTTCAGGATGTTACTCCTGATATCATGCTTTAAACAGAAGTTCACTAAATTATTTTCTGATAAAGAGATTTTGGGCTCACAAAATGTATGTTTCTAGTTTATATTTCATCATTGGAACAGTTTATAGACTTATTAATTATTTACTGTCACTCCACTGTAACTGCAGCTAATTTACTGAATTAAAACTCTTGTATTGTAAGGTACCAACAGAAGCAAGGAGTGGTTCATGCCTATGCTACTAAAATTCTCCTGTCAAAGTGCCAACCTCAGGCAAGTTTATTAGTAGTATATCTACTCCCTCCATACTCTTTTATAAGGTGCACGCACATATCAAGATTCAAACTTTAAATCTTTGACCAATAATTTAGCCAACAATTTTCAACTATTATAATACAATATAATATAAAATAAATAAATAGTTAAAGTGTAATTTAAGAGAACGTGTCATACCAAGTTAAAAGAAAATGGAGGTAGTGTATCATTGAATGTATGCAATGCATATGATTTCTGCTAAAAATATTGCATGTTATTAACAATTGGTTTGGTTCACTGCCAAAAGGAAATTATCCTTGCTTTTGGGTAGCCCTTAATTGCCAATGTATGCATGTTTACTTGTTTCAACTTTTGATATTTTTACACCCCCCCACACACACACAAAAGACTGATATGAGGCACTAAAATTCTGAATATCTTGTGGCACACCTCAGGGACAGGGTTCTTTATGAAAGTTACTTATATAAAAAAAAACTTTAGTTGGTATAATTTTTTTATTCGAACTGGCAGGGGAGCAGAAGGTATGTTTTTGAGCGAGTCATGGCCATGGACAAATCTTTTTTGCTGGAAGTTAAAGTACAGCATGTAGACACTTACAATTTCTGTTTATAGTTTTTCCAACTTTACCAACAGTGTTTAATGTTAGTTGTGCTTGTTGTATTAGCCCTTTCTAATGTTCTTTATCCCACCTCTTTTCCTTGTGAAATAATTAGCTTGAACTTGGTTGTGCAGGAAAGTTTAATAATGAAGTTCTGTAGACATAATTGTGGTAGCTTAAGCCTTGGATCTAAATTGGAGGGTTTCAAATTGGTACTGGTATCTTACTATCTTCTTTAATTGTTTACTTGAAACTAGTTTGGTTTATCCTCATTACTAATTCAGTATTGACTTCACTAGGCCATACCATTCTCTAATCTAGTCTTCAAGGGTGAATCATTGTGGATATCATCGATGTTTAAATTATGGAATGGTTCTGAAGAAGTGGGCAAGAGCCAGGGTTTCTTATGCGATGGTTTTTCCTATACCAGCAGTACCAAAAGATTAATTTCGAGTGAAGATCTGGATTTTGTTTTAGTGGGAAGCATCAAGGTTATTTCTAATTCTTGCGTTATCTACCTCAAAGTAATGATATTTCTTTTAAAAAACTTTTATCAAGTCATAAGATACTAGAATTGTGGTACCTCGAATATTTTGTAAGATTTTTGAACCCTGAGTTTTCCTTTCACTAATTTTTTAATAGCTGGAATATTGATCTTTGTTAGTAAAATTTGTTTTTGTTGTTTCTTTCTGAATTCTCTGATGGGACATTTACCTTGGAACTCAACTTGTATAGCCCTGATGCATAGAGTTCAAGTAAATAGATTAGGCCAATTAATGTGACAATTTTGAAGGCATAGAGTTTGACAACTGTTAAACATTTTAGTAGTACATGGAGGTTTTTGGAAATAGTTCATTTGCATGTTGATTGTGCGGACTAGTGAATGAATTTGCTGCGTAGCCGCATAGGTGATTTTACTTCATGACCTAATTCTTAAGAATCAGTATTAGGATACATTTTGAATGCCTGTGTCCTTTCTGCATACAGACTTCTCCACTGTCAGGGAGACTGCAGTTGGTTGATTCCACTGGATGTATAGATATTTTTATACCTGATCTTCCACCGAATCAGAGCTTGTATGGCATCTATGAGGTAATAACCATAGTTTACTATGAAATATTTCTACTTGAATACGTGATGCATTAGAATTTGCTTGGGACTAGAAGGCTATGTTGTGAATATGTGATGCATCTTATTATTGTAATTTTGTTACTCGATTGCGTTGCCTGCCTTGTTGTAAAGTTTATGATTTTCATCACTTTGACATCAGAATAAAGACCTTTGAATGGTTGTTTAAGAAATCTGGTAGAGGTGGATGTTGTGTCACCCTAAATCTATGATCAACTAGCACTATGAGGTTGGGTATAATCCAGCTGGTGCCATAGTGGTGGCAGTGCAAACCGATAATCCAGTAACAGCTTTTTTGTCTCCTCAGCAGACACAGAAGAGGTAGCTCCTCCAGGGCTTACTCCCTTGCTGCACAATCTTGTGCAGACTGCGGACAGAATTCTGTTCTGTAGAAATGCGTTGAGATATATATATCTGCAGATTAATGATTCTACAGGCATTACCAGCTACTAATTCCATATGTTGGATTGCAACATACTTATCCTAATATAAGGGGTTTTAAAGCAATATAATGACGCAATGTACAGAACAATGGTGTATCGCTGTTACAGTTCTAACAGTGCCTGACTTATTCACTTTTGTTAGCTTCATGTAGTACTAGTAGAGATTACCAGCTCTCAATTTACTGGGAACAAGTTCCCAATAAGGATGGTCCATCAAGAGTAGCTGATCTCAGGCCTATCTCCCTTCTCAATTGTTCAATTATTCTCATAAATTTTTTTTGGCAAACAGATTGCAGAAGCTGACCATGACCCTTATACATAAAAACCAATATGGGTTCTTTAAATCAAGGACAATTCAAGGTTGCCTCAATTGGTCCTTCGAGTATTTACACTTATGCCACCAATCCGAAAAACCGGACCTGCTAGGCGAAGACCACCCCCGCAGCATTGCATTAAGAAGCAGCTTCTTGCATGCAGGCTGTTCAACACCCCTAAGGCCGGCTGCCCTGGATGTGCCACAAAACGCCCAGGACACATGACCGGGACACAACTGAAGAGGGGTGTTTTTTTTAACCCGGGCCTGTTTAAATTCGCTCCCACAGGGGAGGTGTTACTAAGGCTCCTGTGACCACTAGGCTACAAACCTGTTCGCCACCAATCCGAAAAAGAATTGGTTATCCTGAAGGTAGACTTTGAAAAAGCTTTGACAATATTGAACATGAAGCTATGATGAGAATAATGAGGTATCAGGGATTAGGGGATTTTTGCCGCTCATTTTCAACTCAGGAACTTCTACAATGCTATCAAATAGTGTAGCCGGAAAAACTTTTCATTGCTAGGTGTGAGGCAAGGATACACACTCTCTCCCCTCTTATCTGTGTAAGCTACTGACTTGCTCCATACCATCTTGAATAAAGCAAAGAATCAAGGGTTCTTAAATCTCCCAATTCCATTCTCCTCAAATGCAGATTTTCCCATCAATCGGTATGCTGATGATACACTTATAATCATTGAAGGGTGTAGTATAGTTGACACCTTTTTATCTTGGAACCCTTGCTCAACACCTTTTGCTGATTCTTCAGGATCCAAAGTAAATTACTCAAAGTCAGTAATGCATCCAATAAATGTGGAGGCTGCCAAATTTGATATCCTTGCAAAAGCTTCTGCTTGCTCCAGAGGCACTATACCTTCCACGTATTTGGGACTTCCTTTGGGAATTACAAACCCAAAAATGGAAGATTTCTTGCAATTGGTCACTAGATGTGAGTGAAGACTCACAATTACATCCATCTATCTTTAACAGGCAGGTTGGCTGCAGTTAACTAACTCAGTCTTTGCCTCATTCCCAACCTTCTTCGTGTGCACATTCACAACGTACTAACAGTGATGGAACGTGCGGATAAGTTTAGTCCACCAAAAGCTACTTGATTCATGGTATGCAAGCCCAGGGATGAAGGTGGTTTAGCAGTTATAAACTTGAGGACACACAATGATGCTTTGCTGATGAAAAAGTTTGCACAAATTCTTCAATAAGATGCCCCATGGATTGAATGAGTTTGGGGGAAAATTACCGAAGCGGTAAGTTGCTGAGTCATAAATAAGGGTTCATTTTGGCAATTTGGTGTAGGGGCATTTTGAAGCTTCTGGACACTTATAAGGGAATTGCAACAGTAATCATTGAAGATGGTAAAATCTGTTTACTTTGAGATCTATGGAAAGGAAGACTCACCTTTCAGACTTATCTGAAACTTCACTCTTTTGCTAAAGATAAGCGAATGCCCAGCTACAAGCTTTGAAACTAGGGGTACAGGGGATAAGCTGGGCATATGAAACTGGTTGGTGGACACACACTTGTGCTTCTTATCTTTATACATCAGCCCGGGCATAGAAGTCTTTAATTGGACATTTTGAGATGCATCCAGTTTTAAGTGGCTTTGGAGTAAGTCCTCCTGTCAATGCAAATACAAAATTTTCTTGGGGCTTAAGCGTTTCTACCCCTGTTTTGAAGCTAAATGGCGATTTTGCCCTTGTTTTATTAACTTTGTGATTTTACCCCTGCGATTTCAAAACGAAGGAAGACTTTACCCCTATTCCGTGAAGTCCACCTAACGGTGTTAACTTTTGGACAAAAGGACAACTTTGCCCATGCGTTTTTACCCCTGTTTTATTTTGATATTTATGTTTTTACCCCTATTTTTAGATCAGCAATTTGGTAATTTTGATACATAATTATACAATTCAATGAGTACAAAACTCAACAATTTTTAGATCAGACATCACTGTAGAAATAGGGGTAAAAATAGGGGTATAAAAGTTCCCTGTCCGATCTAGTCTCCAGACCAAATTCATCACTGGTTGTGGAAGTCCTCAATTTCCTGCTCATGCTTCCTCTGGAGACTAGATCGGACAGGGAACTTTTCTTGATGAATTTGGTCGAGAAGGTGCTGAAGCATCTGGGATCATACCTCGGTGAGCACTGTAGAAACATGGCATCCTTGGCGTACTATGCAGGCAACAAGGGATGGAGAGCAAACCTTGCTGCCAATTCGTCGAACACCTCCTGGGCGTCATCACCAGAAGCTAACGGAACACGAACTAGAAGCTATTCCCCAAAAGAGCACGAGCTGCCGCCTGCCCGCAAGGACCCCTGCTGCGTTCGCCTGGCCACCTGCCATGCATGTTCGCCCGTCCGGTCGCCTGCCGTACACATCCGACGCGAGCCCGACCGGTCATCCGCCTGCCGCGTGCAACCACCGCACGCTCGTCGTGCTCGCGTCCTGCACGCTGCCTCACACCCGCCGGGGGCTGCCCCAGCACCTTCGCGTGCCCGCCGGGGACTCGCGCGCGCCGGCTGGGGGCCTCCCACGCACCTCCGCGCGCCCGCCGGTGGCCTCCCGTGCGCCGCAGTCTGCCGCCGCCGGGCCGAGCTTGCGCTGGTTGCTCACTGGTGCTAACCCTAGCCCTCGAGGTGTTTCAGTGACCGACCCAAAAGAGGAACCGGTGAGGAACAGAGGAAGTCAGTCAGGAGAGAAGGATAAGAAGAGGGCAATCTTGTCTTTTTGCGTGGGTATCTTTTATTTTCTATTTTTTTTGGCCATTTAATTCACTCAGATTTAACGGTGTCACAAACCAGGGGTAAACAGAGGCTTCATTTTAAAATCGAGAGGGCAAAATTACAAAGTTTAAAAAGTAAGGGCAAAATCACCATTGCCCTTACTTTTGGCTGCTCCTACCTAAAAGACAGGCTCAGTATTAGAATATTCTCAGAAGAAAAAAATATGGACCTCCCCTCCTATGAATCGGAGAGTTTCAAAAGGCAGTTGGCAGTTCCATTCTACATGGAGATCATTATTCTCATGTGATGGGGTATTTGGGGCTTCAAGAAATGACTTCTTCGGGGTAGTTAAGCCGAGAACCCGGCAGTGCAAATCTATTTTTAAGGAATTTGCTCTGGTTAACCATTGAGCCAAGAAATAAGCATTTCCCAGTTATTAAAGCAATGGCTAGATGCTTTTGTGTAGTTGTTTTGATCTTTTTCATTTCCTTGTTTGTTTCTGGTTTGATCTTCTATTTGTTTGCATCTTTAACTCTTTTAGTAGTAATTTTATAATACGTAGTGGTTTTTTACCCCTACTGTTTTCTCAAAAAACAAAGATGGTCTATTTAGACCTGCTGGAAGTTTTTTGCTGGGAGGCAATATTGTCTGTACAATGTAGAACCTTCATGATTCTGTTTGCCATAATGATCTTCTCACCTACAAGTGGCATCCATTCTTGGTTGCCTCGCTTTTTGTAAAGTTCATGCTGCTATGTTAGGATGATATTTATTACTCCCTCCGTTTCAAATTATAAGTCGCTTTGACTTTTTTGGTTCATCCATTTTGCTATGTATCTAGACATATTATTATATCTAGATGCATAGCAAAATGAATGTATCAAAAAAGTCTAAACGACTTATAATTTGGAACGGAGGGAGTATTTCATATTTCTTTGCACTCAAATGGAAATATGTAGAAGAAATGTTCGTATGAGTCTGATTTCACAAGAAGATATTGAGTTGTTTTTCTGATTTTCACATCTAATACAATGGAACTTTCCGTTTTCTTTCACAATAAGTCGTGATTTTGGTATACTATTATCTCCTGCTATACGCTGAACAAAATTCACAGAACAGTAAAGTTGCCATTTTATCTTTTGGCTGTATATATTAAACCTTGTTTTCTTGTTTTCATTTTGCCATTTAGATCGTCGATTACAAACTAGCCCTTGAAGGCCCAGTGGCTTACGTAGATCATTATGATGTTGCTGATCCCCTGTCCTGTAAAGCTGTGTTTCAGAAGCTTCCTTACAAAAAAAGATTACAGCACCTCAATATTTATGTTATAGTTCAGTGGAGGGAATTAATTCATATTGGCCCTTCCTTGAGTATTCCTTCTTATATTAATTATAGGACCAGGTTGTTTCACCTGCTGAAATTGTCCCACATATTTCCTGTGAACAGCAACGTGAGTCGTTTTTCATATGTCAATAATCATGAGATTTTTAGCATAACCATGCCCCTAAATAGTGTCTGTGTTTTCGATTTTCCATTTCAGATTCAATGTCAAAGCATGTCAGGGTCCCTGTATGCTGAAGCTGTAATACTTCCATATGTTTTGAAGTTTATTGGGCAAGGTGAATTTCTTGAGGATGCTGAGGGCTTTATAATGTCACACTCTACTTTAGTAGGTAATTCTGGAGCCTCTATGGCAAAATCATGTAATATTCCATGTTCGCTAAGCTTTGGTAGCACCAATCTTTGTGGTACTCTGGTGTCTACCGGTTCCTCTGGATCAGAAGGTACTGTTCTAAAAGAAACAAGGATTTTGTTGGAGTTCAAGGCAGGAAGTTTTATGAAATATCAGGTATAGTTTTGATGAAGAAGTCTATTTTCTCATTATTTCATTGTCACCTCCACATTTAGCTGTGTTTCTATAGCGTATCTCTAAATTCTACATAACCACATTAATATGCAGTTACCGCGAATCAATGGTTCCTATATTCTCCAATGTCCCAGTGGAGGTTTTACTTGCACCATGGGAAGTTGTGGATGTGTGCGAGGTGGTAAAGTCTCGATAGATTCTCAAGATAGACTTTGGAGCTTTGCCATTACCATTGATGGTAATGTAAACATCAAGGGGTCAACTGGGGATCAATCTATTGGAGGTACTACCTCTGTCCCCAAAAGGATGCAACTATGGGCAGGGCCGGCCCTGAGATTTTGGTGGCCCAGGGCAACACTAAAAATTGAGGCCCCTTATAACATATGTACATCTGTTATCGCTTGTATTAGTTTGGATGTTAAGCTAAGAATAGTTACCTAGCATGCATTACCTATTCTTAAAAAAATTATCTTGTCACATACTCCCTCCATCCCAAAATGAGTACAAACAACATAAACTTTGACTAAATTTATATAAAAAAGTACAAACATTCATGATACAAAATAAGTGTCAATATACTAGTTATAGAAATATATATTTTCATAATAAATTTATTGAAAGATATAAATGCTAACACTATTTACTATCTTGGTCAAACTTGAGCTTGATTGACTGGCACAGATACCATAATTGCATTCTTTCGTTGACAGGGGAGTAGAAGACAGGTGCTGAAAATTTTAAAATACATTTAATAATTGAAAACTAGCACAATGCATATATACCCTACAAGGCATACTGTTACGGTGAGCATCCCTACAGCCGCATGGCAAAAAAAAAACAGAGAGAATTGATGCACACGTTGCGCTCCTAGCCTTTAGGCCTCTCCTACAGCACAACACGTTGCACTCCTGCAACAGCATTACACTTATACGCCACCTGTAGTCTGCGGTACTTCAGCTAAACTCCAAAATACTACTCCTACACAGTACACACCTACACCGTATACATACAGGGTTGGGGGCCCTTACGGCTCGGGGGCCCAGGGCGGCCGCCCCTCTGGCCCGCCCCCAGGGCCGGGCCTGACTATGGGTTGCGTGCCACTTTAAGTGATTCATGTTTGACCAAGTTTCTAATAAATAATATTCATATTTATGGCCCCAAATCAATTTATTATGAAAATACATTTCGTAATTAATCTAATGATATTTATTTTATATTATAAATATTTATACTTTTTTATCTATAATTGATTAAACTTGATATACTAAAACGTGACACTGTTCCAGAATTGCATTCTTTTGGAGATGGAGGGAGTACTTCAGTGAAGATGGATGAGCTATTTTCCAGAAATATCATCCATGATGAGCTAAGATTAGTTCAGCCTTGGAATGACTTTTACCGTAATTCTTATTTCCATTTGGATTTTTCTTGTGAGGCAATAAGCAAAAAGATGGAAGAATATAACACCGTATGTCATGTATTGAATGGGCTGTGTGCTTCGTCCAGTGAAGTTTTAAGTGTGTCATCATGTGTTGATATTATGATGCCTAAAGATGCTTCTGTGTCTGCTAACTTCAAAACTAAAGAAGTGGTTCATGGAGATTTATTAGTATCAGTACAGGGAAAAGTAGAAAATATACATTCACTTGTCTGTAAGTGGGAAAGATGTGTTCCTGGTAATGAGAAGTACAGTCTATGTATCCATATTGCTGATAATAATCATGCGGTAAATAACCAGGTTACATTTTTTTTTATTAAGTGCGTAGTTGTTAGTTTGATATTCCATTTCATGGCAATCCTTTGCAGGTATATATCCGTGGATACTCAAATAAACATTCTACTGTTGGCATAGGACCAGGGGCAACAGTGACATTCCATCGTGTCCGTTTGAAACAGTTTGCTCCTTCCCTTTCTTCTGATTTTCTTTAATTGTTTCTTCCATTGTTTTGTTAGGATCCTTGCAGCAAAAGACCCCTATTTACCCATATATGCAGCATTGTAGCTTTTACCTTGTGATCTGACTAGGAACCTGATGTCTACCCTTGCTTGCTTTGTAAAAAATGGTAGTTTGGTGGTACACTGAATAGAACGAGTTGAGCGAACTGACTAGCTAACCGATAGTTATATCTTTAGTTGTAGAGGTAAATTATGCAGCTTAAGTGAGTGAGTACTAGTGAGCCCTGCTTACATGTTATACTCCACATGGATAAACATGTCAATTAACTTAGTTGCATCCTAATTTTTATGAGTCTACTTTTGTCACAACATCAACAACAACAACAAAGTATGAGTCTACTTTTGTCAATCCTTACAAATTACAGTAACTCACCGTACTAATTGCTTGGGATCACATTCTTTTTACATAATGTCAGGTTTAATGTTTAAAGCTGAACTTCAGGGTACATTTACTTATAAATATGCAATTTCATTCTCTATCTGGTTGTTTCTTATATTCTCTGTTTTCTGGCTGCAGGCATGGATTATTGTTAACCTCCGAGACATACATTGAGGTTAGCTCCATCAGCCATGCTAACTTTCCTGAACAAAGTGTTATTTCGTCACCAAAGTCTAACTGGTTAAAAGATGATTCACTTAGCACAGCTTCACCGTGCTTGTTCTTTCATCAGAAGTATTTTACAGACAGTAGACCCATGCAATTTCACTGCAGGGTAGGTTGCTTTCTGCTCAAAGTTCACTCTATATGTTACAGATGTACTACATTTGAATCTTTCAGGGTCCTGTTGGTCAGATGTATTCTTTGGTTGCTAGCTCAATTTTATCTTTTGCTTTACTCATTTTGAATTTATCATCTGATGTCATCATCTTTCTTCCAGGTAGCAACTGTCCTTGTGCTGGTATTGAACAAATCGACTAATCATGGTGAAACTCCAAACGTAAGAGTCCAGCTAGCTGGTTTTATCCTTGGTAAGATATGCAGTATTTTTTCTGTTTAAGCTACAGAATATCATACATCATACTCAAATTCGAAATAGTTTCAATGATACACAGGGATGTTTTACAGTTCTAATTTGCATAGTGCACATGTATTTATTAATCTTGTTATATTACCTATGCTTTTTGCAGATGATGGATCATCCCTGTGCTGTGGCTGGGCTGATGATGCTAGGGCAGAATTATTGCTTAGACTGCAGGAAATTGCACATCTGGATGCTTCTGTTAATTTAAAGCTTTCAAAAGGAGGAAACAGCACAAATTTACAATACACTATTGGATGCTGCCTTGAAAAAATGTTGAAGAAGCACACAAGCGTTACCGTAAAGAACTGTGGAATTCCTCCTGATTTCTCTTGCCGAGATTTGGATGCATCTTCTGTTTCGGACAAAGTCTTAAGTCGCTTGGAAGACAAACTTCTGAAATTTATTGTCCTTAGTGCTTGTTGGAAGGGATCTCTGGTGAGCTTATCTATACATTGGTTGTCAAAGCATGTTTGAGTTTGGATCCATTATCTAGCACATATATCATTGGAGCTAATAAAATATTTTTATATTAATACCGTACGGCTATATTAGATAGAAAAACTTGACATTATTCTACCAGCCTTTGAATTGTTCTGTAACAAAATGTTTGCTATTTGCGTCATTAGCCAGGTGATTTGTAGTACATTTCTACAGTGATTTGATTTGTCTCATGAGAAATACACCTAATTTTCCTTTTCTTTATGTGTTTTCTAATTTCTAGTTTCATAATGACTAGAAAATTGCTGCATTGGTTGGCCAGGCCTTATGCTTATCAGTAATATACTTGAATTTTCTTAAATATATGCTATTTGATGAACTCCACATTTTTTTGCAGAATGTTTTCACATCAGCTCTAGACCCAGATGATATAAATGGGTTTAATGTGGAGCTCCCTGTTCCAATACAGAACATGCGGATGCTTTGGATAGAAGAAGTTTTCCCAGTAGATCCTTTGGAAGAAGCTCGCAGACTTTGTGATATTTTGTGATATTCTGGGTGATTTAGTACGCAGTATCCAAAAAAGGATGGATTGTCCAGATCGTACGGCCACTTTGCTGAGATTTTTGCAAACAGAAAATGTGTTTCACACTTTCACCATGATACTGTCGTGCTTACAAGGGGGCAGACGGAACTTTCTAATTGGAGGGTGTTGCATCATCATTTTAAGCACTTCAGCATTAAGTGCTCTTGGAACAAAATATAGGGGCATAATTTTTTGTTGTATTTATGTACTTATGCCCTTTGAGGCTGTGATTTGTAATGGCAGTTTCAGCACCTTACAAGTTACAATCTGAGATTCATGTGTGCACTTTGCTCCCAAGTCTCAATGAGATAAAATAGCAAGCTCCTGCCTGATTTATACTTTGTACAAAGTTTCAGAATTTGAAATGTTGGAGATTGTGTGGTAGACTACAAATTTATGATCTAATGATATTTATTATGAATCATAAATATTAATAAATTTTATGTATATTTCGTTTAATTTGAAAACGAGATTTATGTTCTTTTCGGGATGGAGTATCATACAAGCAAGCTATAACATTACCTCCAGACACAGCAAATGAACTCATTTATATCGTGAAGCTGGAGAACTTGCCAAAAGTGGGGATGATAGAGACTGATCTCTGGGTGCTCGGTTGCTCATCTCTGTTGAAGTTGATCCCAGATTGTTCCACCACATTTTGCAACGTGTGAGAAATATACTGACAAGTTTGCAATGTGTAAGAAATATCCTAACGGTGAACGAATGATGACCCTGTTCGTTTCGCTGAATTTTAGCTTAACACTGTTTATTTGCTGAAAAGTACTGTTGAAATAGTGCTGCAAAACAACATATCCTTTTGATGTTGATTCTTATTTGCAACGTGTATACAAATTTGGCTGTTCAGTCTCCGTATCGATGTACCCTTTTGATGTTGATGCTGATTTGCTGAACGAGCGGACCTTTCGCCCTTTTGTATCCAACGTTCCAAGCTCCCAAAAGCAACGTAAAGTAAATATTCTACTTGCATTATTATGCCCCAACGTTAATTTTGGCTAACTGATCATGCTTCCTGTCTCCTACCCTACCACTATCATCTGAGGGTGTCAAGATCAGCTGTAGGGTTTGGACACACAACAAACTCAAGAATTGTGAGGACCACAAAAGCACACAGCACACTTTTGTATCTATGGTACAGTTAGTAGACTACCATGACCAATGCGCCTCAGCTATATATCATGCAATTGATATTATCACATTTCAGATTTAGGTCAGCAAGAATTGCAAGATGGTCACCTCAGCTGCTGGTTGCCAGACAACAGGACGCACTTGTACAAACATATAACAATTGATGCATAACCTAATCAACAAACAAATTATTTATTTTCAAGCCTGTCGATCGGACCAACAGCGATTTCTTGTTAGCTATCACATGTCAGGCCACAATGATGTCAAAAGGGGTGAACAGCAGGGTCCAGGTGAAATTTCAGCGTATACAAGACATTCCTCCATACACCAAAAAAGCAGCAATATTCATGGAAGATCATGGGCTTGACCCTTTCTTGAACAGCTTGATTTCATCACCGTAGTAGTAAGCACTGCCAATCATCAGAGCAACTGTAGCGCCTTGAGCAACTACACGTGCCCTCATCAGTTTCTGACCCAGCTGAGAGTTCCCATATCGGAAACTGATCAGACCAGCTGTCAGAACTCCAGCAGTAACCAGTGCACCTGAAAAAAGATGCGAACATTATAAGAATTTAGTCGTCACGTGATTAAGCTTAAGGCATCCAATCCAAACATTACTAATAAATTAAAATTTTAGCAGCAAGTGCCAAGTCAAGTTTCTGCTTCATCACAGCATGACAGAAAGTTTCATTGGCAACTATATATAAAGTAAAATTGTCACACACACAAAAAACCCTATGGTTGGCAGATCCAGAAAGTGCAGTAAAATATGTTAATGAATGGTCTGAGATTTCGAAATGAGAACTAGCAAAGCAAGGATGATAAACTCAGAACAAATCAGAGACTTAATAAGACTTCCTAATATAATAAATCTAAATACTTCAAGGACATTGGCCCATACTTCATGAATTATCTTGAAGCTGATGGATAGTTATGCCAAAGAGGCTGAAATTTCCAGAACATCCTGAATCCAACCTCCATTCTTTATGCTCTTACTATTATTTGTAAGGGCATCATCAAATTCAACTCTTGAAGTGTTGCTCATGGGGGTGCCACATGTCCTGACTCCAACATCCATTATTTATGCTACAAACTCAAGAATCACCACAGTATGTCCCCTAAACGGCTAAACCAGATGAAAGTTCCTCATTCCCATCTCAAACGGTTACAGGTTACCCTGAGCTAACCTAGCTACCTCATTTTTGTTTCCATCAAACAGTCTATTGGTCACACAATAGCTAGTGTTCTCATACACCCAACCAAGAAGCAAAATACTTTACAAACCATTTTTGAAATATTAACAAAACCATTCGATTAGCTAACAGCACACGTTCGCCTCCCTCACTGTCATGAGCCCCCCCACACACACACACACACACACACCTCTCTCTTCTTTCCTTCCCTGACCAAGATGACCATGCACGCGTAAGCTACCTTTATTAATTTCGACTGCTTTAGAAACTCATTGAGTAACCTCCAAAATTCATTATAAGATGAAGAAGATCTTGCTGGCAATAAATCTATACCTAATATTAAAAGGAGAAAATCCTTCCTCCAAGGTCCATCACCCTCTCCCAGTTTCTCAGTCCCTCCCACTCCCCGGAGCATAAGAGTCCTGGCCAGTTTTACTAATAGTAGTAGTACGTGATGAATTAGGGATAAGAGTCTAATTGGTCAAACTGTACGTTATGTTGCACGGACATGTTTGCTAGTATTATATAAAAGAAGAAAGTTCAATTAACCAATAACAGCACCAGACATCTTCAAACTAGTCACTGATTTGGAACTAGTCAACTAACTTTATTCCACCAAAGCATATATTAGATCACCATAACGTGCATCGAGAATAAGAAATATTGATTGTCCTAGAATGCACACATAAGCAACTCAGCTATTATCATTCATTCATAGAGGTACATGAAAATGGATGTAAATGTGCTTACGAATAACCATCCATAGAAACCTAGGTCTATTCCACAGTTTGTCTACCCCTATCATCAACAAAGCAATCCTTTATGGCCACATTTTACAGGGTGAATACCTATGCACTATTTGATTACTGATAAGGCAGAAAATTTCGACCACCATATGCATACAAAGCAGGGACAAAATTTCATGCAAGGCAAATTGCTACCATCTCAAATTTCGTTTTCTCCTGCCCAGCCCACATAGTGCAGTTACTGATCAATGCAAATAAGAATGCATGCTACGCAAAAGAAATAAAACGAATAGACAAATTGCAACCCAGCCTATATGGATTATTATGTATGTAGCAGTAGCAAATCAAACAACAGATATCTAATTTCATGACAGTTGTTACAACTTAATTCCTGCAGTAGCGCCTCCATCAGTCTAGTGCCGCCATAAGCAATCCAAAACAGAAAAAACACGGTCCTACTCATAGGAAACAACAGAGCTAGATCCCCCACACCACACCACCCCACCCTACCAATCCAAAACCTGAACCCCGCACGGATTACATCCGACGACCCTGCATCCGGGGCAGGTACTCTCCCCGTCCTCAGTGCGAAAAGGGACTAGGTAGGGCCGCTGGCGTCAACGAGAGAGAGAGGCCGGAGGTGCGTACATACCGATGGGCACAAAGGGGTTCTTGACGGGCTTCTTCCCCTCCAGCTGGAAGTCCTCCATGTGGAGCGGCGGCGGCGGCGGAGCGCTGCCTCCACTGCCCTTCTCCATTCCGAATTGCGTCGCCGGGGTGGAGGAGAAACAAGAAGAAGAAGAAGAAGAAAAAAAAGAGGCGCCTTTTGCAACAGCGGCGGCGCTGCGCTTCGGGTTTGCAGAGCCTTGCTGCCGCCGCTCTTCAGCTAGTGAGAAGAGGGCATGCCCACCGTTGGATTGAGATCCGAGGGCGGAGGGATGTTAGAGTTAGTGGGGCGCGCCAATGGTCTGCTTGTGGTGTCAAACTTGCCAACCGGGCCTCAGCAAAACTTCTCTCTCCACCGTCGATCGTCACTCTGTCCAGAACCTTCTGGAATGCGTGTATTTTGGTGATCAGTATTTAAATTCTTTTGTAATTTGTACCCTAATCAACCAAATTGACACTCTTAAGACTGACTCTAGATAACAGATGCATGACATAGATTCTACAAATTTGGAATGCAACTTTTTTCATTTCGGGCGTGCTTATTTTTCATTTTTATTCAAGGTTGGCATAAAAAGGTGATTGTCTTACACAAACTTTCAAAATGCATATCTATATATTCTGACCTTGCTAATGGCACCACTCTAATTAGCTAATCAGTGATGAGTTGCTTACATGGCATGTTAACTAAGCAAACACACAGAACCTAACATGTGGCATGCTGTTAGCTATGTGCCCCTATCTCTTTCCTCTTATCTCTCTTCCTCTCTGTGATAGTCACTGTGCCACATAGGGGTAGTGTTAGCACTTATTAGGGTGCGTGGTGTATGTGTCGTGCGGGGGTATAATTACCAAGTTTAGACATTTATATGTGATTTTTGTGATTTTCGTATCTAGATAACAATGCAGGACAATTCTAAAGACTGATGATCAATTTTATTGAGGTACATATTGTACCAACCACATAACATCATTCTAGTCATAAACCTGATAGCTCCTGTAACGGCTAACAATTTTGAGGTACATGAGTATAAGAAATTTATGAATAAATATGGTTTCATAGTTCATGGATTTTTTTTATATTTAATCATTGTCATTTATTTATTTTCTGACATGTACAATACCCTCTAATATTTATCCAATTGTGATAGATTTTGATTACATATTACTACATATATTTTTCATAGTTGTTAAATCATGGGAATTTATAGGCTTAGCATTCCCTACTTGCGTGTATATGTGGAATGCATAACACACACCGTGTATGTATGGGTATTTTAGGTTACCTTTTCATAATGATAGAGGTTAGAATTTAGATAATCATCTTTATAATAGTAAATGTGGATAATTTAGATGGAAAGTTAGCGGTATGTTGTATTATTAAGTTTGTAAGACAGGAGGTAGATGGATTGGTTGGCAACGGCGGTTGTCTAGAGAGGCAATATGGCAAAGTCTTGTGGGCACTAGAGATCATCAAGGGTGGATGGGGTGTGGCAGTTGCGCGGCTGTAGTAGTGTGGTGGAGTTGGGTGATAAAAAGAGTGCAGATGGTGAAGATATTTCTCTCTGTATCCGAGTTTGAATTCATTTATAGGAGTTTAGATGCGTCCGTATCTGAATTTGGATATTCGATATCCGATATTGTATGTGTATCTAAATACTAAAATCATGTATATATTAAAATTGAATTCTAGAAATATGCTTTGAGCCTGTTCGCTGGGAGGAATTTAGAAAAATCTGAATGGATTTGAAAAAATCTGTAAGACCATGAACAGTGTTTTAGCCGTGAACAGTGCCAAAACCAGCTGGTTTTGGCACCGGCCGAACGAGCCCTTTTATCTATATTCATAGCCATAGATATCCGACTGTTTGCACCTAGTGATAAGTGATAGGCAACCTTGGTGGGCCAAGGCCAAGCCGGATGCTGCTTCCGCTTGGTCAGTAGCCGGTCAGTAAAAAAAAAAGGAGAGAGACAGAGTAGCCAGTCAGTACTCAGTAGGTTCCCTAATCCCTACTGATGAAATACCGTCCGCAGTCCACGTTGATAAACTCTCTGCAATCAGTGCAAGTGCAGCGTTCTGCGGACCTAAATGTGAACTGCTAGATAATTTAACCGATAATAATTCATAAGTGTTAAGTAATTTGCTGCTCCCATGAACGCATGGCAGGGACATACGACGAAAGGTTTCCTGCTACTGCACTATAGCCGCTGTAGAGGCAGACGTCGAAAGGCTCCCCTGCCACACTGTAGCCATAGCAGGGACATACGTAAAAGTCAGCCCTGCTGTCACATCTAGTTACTGTAGCAGCATGATAGTCTGGCATATCTGTGTATTAGGATTAGATGGACAGAGTTGTATATATAGTTTCCTACTACAACTCAGTAAAGTGAGCGAGTTCAGTTTTGTCATATCCTCTACAGAGCTTCGGCCAACGCTGGTGCTTGTGCTGTGCGTGCGCGCGCTCTGTTCTCCCTCCCTTCTTCTACCTCCAGCCGTAGTGTGTGTGGTCGGCAACGACGGTGAGCGATTGGCTCACCCGTGCCGAAGATCCCGGACCCAACAAGTGGTATCAGAGCCGTACAAGCGTCGTCGTCGGACTAACCACTGGCGACGACGAACGGTTTGGAGATGGACGAAAGCAGCGACGCTGCTGTGGCTGCCCAGCCACGACAGGAGATTATTATGCGCACGGTGCGGAAGGTCAGCGGCACCAGCTGGCCGACGCTGACTCGCACTAACTATGACGAGTGGGCGGTGACCATGAAGGTCAAGCTCAGTGCCCGACGGCTCTGAAATGCTATTGACAAGGGCACCGACAATGAAGAAGACGACATATCAACATTGGAGGCTATCATCGCTGCTGTGCCAGCGGAGTACAGGGAGCCATTGGGGGCCAAGAACTCTGCTAAGAAGGTGTGGGAGGCCATTGCGGCGATGCGCGTCGGTTCCGACCGCGCATAGAAGGCGACGGCCTAGCTGCTGAAGCAGGAGTACGTCAACCTCAAGTTCAAGGATGGTGAGTCGGTGGAGGACTTCTCCCTCTGTCTGTAAACGCTCATCAGCAAGCTGAGGAGCCACGGTGTCACCATCGACGAAGAAGAGGCAGTCTCCAAGTACCCTCACTCTGTGCCGGCGAAGTACATCCAGATTACTCTCTCCATAGAGACGATGCTGAACTTGTCCACCCTCACTATTGAGGATGTGACAGGCCGTCTGTAGGTGGTGGATGAGCGCATGGAGCAGGCCACAGCAACGGTGAACAGCGACAAGCTGTTGCTGACAGAGGAGGAGTGGCTGCCCGGATGAAGGAGAAAAAGTCTGGAGAAGCCTTCTCCAGCCGTGGTGGCTAGCAAGATTTCTTCGGAGAAGAAGAAGGTCGACCCCAACGCCTGCCGGCGCTGCGGGAAGACGGGCCATTGGGCGGAGTGCCCAAATCGCAAGCAGGAGAAGAAGGCTGAGGCTCATTTAGCGCAGGCTGATGAGGATGATGAGGCCACTCTCCTGATGATGATGTTCTGTGCACTGCACGACGTTGAGGCGAAGGAGAAGGGAGAGATGATGGCAGTGGAGGGGCACTGTAAGGCTCTGAAGGCTGTCAACCTCGACGAACAGCGCGTTCAAGTCCACCTCGGATGTGTGGGCGACGAGCAGGAGCAGCGGTGGTACCTGGACTCCGGTGCCAGTAACCACATGACGGGCTCCAAGGAAGCCTTCTTCGAGCTTTATGGCAACGTGACTAATACGGTGAAGTTCGGTGACGGCTCAAGGGTGGCGATCTGAGGGCGCGACACCATCATCTTCAGGTGCCAGAACGGCGAGCACTGTGTGCTGACGGATGTATATTACATCCCGCAGCTGCATTCAAGCATCATCAGCATTGGCCAGCTGGATGAGCACGGCAGCGAGGTACTGATCAAGGACGGCGTCCTCAGGATCAGGGACCGAGAGCAGCGCCTTCTTGCCAAGGTGAAGAGGTCCCGAAACTGGCTGTACCTGCTCGACTTAAGGTGGAGCAGCCGGTGTGCCTGGCAGCATGGCACATCGAGGAGCTATGGCTATGGCATGCCTGGTTCGGCCATCTCAGCTTCGACACGCTCGCTCGGCTGGAGAAGATAGTCTAAGGGCTACCCCACATCAAGCACGCAGGCGAGCTGTGTGACAGCTACCTAGCCGGAAAGCAGAGGAGGCTACCATTCTCAAAGCCGGCCAAGTATCGCACGGTGGACGCTCTCGAGCTTGTCCATGGCGATCTCTGTGGGCTAATCACGCCAGCCACAAACGGTGATCAGCGGTACTTCCTCCTGCTCGTGGATGATTGCAGTCGCTATATGTGGCTGCAACTCCTGACGAGCAAGGGCAAGGTGGTTGAGGCGATCAAGAAGTTCAAGGCGCGCACGAAGGCAGAGAGCGGCAAGAAGTTACGCGTGCTCCGGACTGATCGTGGCGGCGAATTCACTTCGGTAGAGTTCGCTACATACTGTGTGGGTTAGGGTGTGGTGTGACACCACACTTGATGAGGACATGACACCCATGCATATGACCATGTTTGGCGCATGGTATGGAGGGGAAGGAGGCCGGCAAGGGTGTCCAAATTAAGAAGGAGGTCTGAGGCTAATTCGGTTTGAATCTCTGAGGTGGAGGCCCAAAGCAACTCTAGTTCGAGTCTGCCTCGGTCTCTAGGACCAGTCTGCCTTAAACTGGTCACCCAGGACGCATCCAGACTCCATTTTCGACGATCCACCTATGGTTGGAAAGCTAATTTGATAAGAAAGCCAATCCAAGTAGTCTCACATCAAAAGACCTACAGAATCAACGGGAATCGTCAAAACAAGTCAGCGTTCAGAATCTACCAGGGTGCTGCGACACCGTCTTTTGGTCCGCTGGACCGTGTATCATGTTTGAGCCTATTAGGGGGTGCGTCCAGGGGGTGATGCCCAAGACTTTATAAATATTAGCCATCGCTCTCCTTAGGGTTTGGGTTTTGTTTAGTTCTTGATTTCCTCGTGAAACAGACGTCGTTTTGCTGCAACTGTCGCCGCTAAGGCCACTTGCTGTGAACCAGGGCCCCGGTTCTTGATCTTGTTCGCCTGTGGC